AGGAATGACTGACTGCTCAGCTCACAAGTACTTACTGAGCTCCTGCTGTGAGCCAGGCACTGGGGTACATCAGGAAAAGCAAAACTGAAAGATTCAGGGCTCCAGGCAGAGTGAACAGCAAGTGCAAAGGCCCTGAGGCAGAAACATGCCTGACATCTGACGTGTGTAAGAAACAGTGAGGCGTGGCTGAAATGCACTGAGGGAGGGTGGAGGGGTGGCTGCCCAGAGCCTTACAGGCCATTGAAAGGACTCCTGGTTTTCCTGTGTCTGGGATGGGAACCATTGCAGGGTTCTGCGCAGAGGAGACACGAGGTCTGAAGTACGTTTCAATAGCTGCTGCATGGAGAACAGATTGGCAAGAAGAAGCAGGAAGCACACAGAGACCTGCAATAACCCAGGAGAGAGACGGTGGTGGGTTGGCTTCTAAATGGGACTCAGCCTGGGGCCAGGAATTGGATAGGAGGACTGACTGGGGTTAATGTCAGGGCTTATTTTGGGGCTGGGATCAGAGGTCTGTCTGGAGAGAATATTAAGAGTCATGCTTGGCCTGGGCTGGTGTGGAGGCCTGACTAAACATGAGTTTTCTTTGTAAAAAGCTGAGCACATGGCTATAAATAGGAGGCACATGCAAGCACTCTCAGACCTACACATGCGTCCCACCAGGGCACGGTGGGTCTCTGAATCCCCATCAATCTCCCCTCCCTCACCCAAGTGCCCCATAACACCCCACCTTCACCTCTGTCTGGGTCACAGCTCTGGTCTCCCCTGTCCTTTAGCACCCCTGTCCTAACTACCCCATACCCCGATCCAGGCCCCACCCCCTCCACCAAGCCCACGCAACTTGGCAGGACAGCACTGGGCTCCTCCAGAGCCAAATGGTTTTGTGGAGAATGGGAGACAACAGATATTACTGGGCTCTTTTCCCTGGTTTCCTGCCAGAGCAGCGGAACCGCGCTGGACGCTCCCACATCCACTGCCCTCAGCTCACTGCCCGACGCAGCACGGGACAGCCTCGGCTCGCCGCCCGGCCTGGCCCAGGAAAGGGACAAGGGAGTGGCTGCTAAGGCTTTGGTCCAGATGGAGCCCCTCCTTGGCCTAGAAAATTCAACGAAGCTCAAAATCAGTTCTGCCTAATGCCACCACCCCCAGAGCCCAGAGCTCTGCAACAACAGCCCACTGGGCTCGCCGGGCTAAACCCAGAAGGGGTCATGGGAGTTCCGTCTCCTCCCATCTTATAAATGAAGAGACCACGGTTCAGGATGGTTATACAGCTGCCAGAGATCCAAATAAGAGAGGCCTGGTGGGTCCTTCCAGTCCAGCCTCCCTTTGTGGTCAGGGTCACTGAAGGCCCTGGCAGTCGGACTCGCCCAAGACCGCGTCCCATGGCCTAGAGCTCTCACTCTCCATTCTCATTCATGACTCCCCAAACACCAGGTTTAGGGGCTGCAGGACTCACCATGGAGCCCACCTAAGCATTGACAGCAGAAGCTCAAACAGCAGACCACCCATCTACTTGTACTTCTGGGGGCCTTGGAAATGCCTAGAAGACTTACAGCCTGAGGTGGGGAATGAGGCTCCCTGCCCACCCTAACCTCAGCCTGAGATCCCAAGCAGTGGTTATGCAGTTACCTGTCCCCCAAGACACCCAGCTCTCACTCCCATCCTTTCTCATGAGCAAGCAGGGATCCATCACACCCATTTCATAGATGGGGGAAATTGAGTCTTAAAAAGGGGCCCTTGCTTAGGGCTATTCTGCCTGGTAGTGGTATGAACCCGGGCTCAGGTTCCTGACCTCTAGCCTAGCTCTTCCCAGAATCCAGGTTGGGGGTAGGGGGTGAGGCCAGTTGGGAGGTAGGACTCTATCTGCATAATTAGTCCTCTCTGTTCTAGCAAGGCTGCCAGTGAAGACACAGCCCATAGACCTGGTCTTCCCCGTCCCCCTTCCCCCTCTGGGCCCAGGAGAGGGGCTGGTGGGCTCAGGAACCTACTGACCAACTTCCACTGATAGAGCTGCTCAAAACACAAGAGTTTAGAAAATGGCTCTGCTAAAGAACAGAATGTTGGCTGCCACGCTGTGTGGTCCAGGAGCCAGGGAGTCCCACAGGAGCCCAGCTCGGTGATGTGTCGCCTCATTGAGCATCACATCGCCCTCACCCAATCATCCCACCTCCAGGAGCGGGTCCCACAGAGATATGTCCAAAGCTGTGGCTGTTTGAAGCGACATAAGACTAAAATCACTGTACATGCTACAGGTAGGGAACATGTTAAATAAAAGATGGCACATCCATGGAGACGGGCTTTATGCAATCATTCGGAAGAGACTGTAAAGCTCCATCTGTACCAACATGGAGCAATGCCTAAGATATTGTATTGAGTAAAAATAAAAGCAAGATATTGAATGCTGTGAATAATGTTACTGGTTTTGTATACAAATGGGGATACACACTCACATATACCCCATCACATGTTTGTGCACCCATAGGGCTCTTTCTGAAAGAATATACAAGAAGCCATTAGCAGGAGCTGCCTCTGGAGAGAGAACTGGGGAGCCCCGGGTAGGAGGGAGTTTTAGGGGTGCTTAAATTTTTACCATGTGCAGATGTGAACTTGTTTTTAATGACAGGATCCCTGGGCTCCAGTCACAGCTCTGGGCCAGAACTCCCGAATGCCTGAAGCTACCCTCACTCCCTCCCCCATCCTAAGAGCACCTGTGCCACCCTGCAGCCCAGGAGGGAGGGGACAGGGAGGTGCGTGAGAGTGGCGGGGCGGGGAAAGGGCCCAGGATCAATGATTTACAGGCCGCTGGGATGCTGGGGCTGAGGGGGAAGTCCAGGCTCCAGTAACAGGTGTCTGATGGGAGCCTCCGCTCCCAGCCACCTAATAAATAACTCTCTGGGCCAGATGCCAGTGTGAGTGGGCAGGGGGAGGACAGATCTTCAGGGGTGAGCATGGCAGGGAGAGCCTGGGTCACTCACCCACCTGAGAGGCTCTCTCTCTGCTCTGGCTTTGGGACTTGAGGAATGGCCACTCATGTGCACCAGACCACCGTGGAGGTCAAGTTCCCCATCCCCTCAGTGTGCACAGCAGAGGCCCTGGAAGCTACAGGCTAACGGCACAAACGCCTGGCCAGCAGCCTCAGAACTGGCTGGGAGCTTTTTAGAAAGCACAGAGTCTAGCCCAGACATTCAGACTCAGTGGGGTTGGAATAGGGCTCAGGGATTCGGTAGTTGAAGAGCTCTCTGGTGTCCCTGACACGTGGCTGTGCAGTACAGCTTCTCACTGGCTGCGTGACCCACAACAGTCACCCCACCTCTCTGAGCCTTACTTTCTTTACTATAAAATGGGGATCATTATTATTCTAATAAGGGTCAACATGTCCACAGGTCAGGCAGCTCGTATATACTTCTCAACAACCTATGAAGTTGTGCAACTATTATCCCTATTGTATAGACGGGGAAACTGAGGCTCAGAGAAGTCCACACATCTGGCAGGTGGGATTTAAACCCAGGTCTGTCCAGCCTCAGATCAGCACGAGCCCCTACCACAAAGTGTAAGTTCTCCTGCATCCACCCAACCGTGGTATGTCCAGGGGATCACTGGAGGTGGATGGAGGACGCCTCGCACAGTCCCTGGCATGCAATGGGTGTGTGGGGAAGGGTAGATCGCATTCATTTCCAATAGTGGCAGGACAACCATATGGCAGGAATGTTGGGGAATGATTTGTGCAATGGGTGGTGTGTTAGACGAGACTGTTTATTTATAAGGTCCCTTCCAACTTGGAAACGCGAAGCTCCCAATGTTTGTTGATTCTCTGATTGTGTTTGTTATTGTTGCTGAAAGAATTCTAAGACTGATTTCCCTGTCTGAGAGTCTAGATGC